GCGTGAAAGGTTGCAATGCGTTGGTGGAGCAAACAGATGAGCATAAGATATTAGCCAGGAATTGATTAATTAGCAAACACCTGACGATTTATCATCTCGCGATTGATTGAAAGACAAGCGTGGAGGATCACTTTCATTAGTCGTGGCGATCACTTCCCACTATTTTCGCGATATACTCACAATTTTCGTCGTTGTCAGATACAAAAAAAACTTCACTTTTACTTGGCGCTTTTTTCCGCGCAACGCCACTTCCTGAGGAGATTGTCGCCAAAACAGCGCGCGATGCGTAATCGGAAAGAATTAACTCAACCATCATGGCTTAATCTGAGTGTCCATAATGGTACCGTTGACCCGAAGACGTGCACACTTTCTTCGCGATGTTCGCGCGAGCCCGCGAGGGTCCGGCGAGAGGTGCAAAAAGTCCGTATAACAATAATTTAGGTATTTTGTCATGTTATGTATGCGAAGAAATTACGAGCTGTGCTGTGAAAATTAACAAAGATTATGTGGCACAAGAAATCGCGTCTCGTGAATCCACATAGAGATGCTGATATGATACAATTCAGATATGACTGGTGAATTCTCACAATTTATCCATCAGCGTGATATTTTTAGGAAGAGTTTCGCGCCCAACAAAGAGGAAAGGCACCTTTCCTTTATGCCTTTCTTTAGAAATGCATCTCTTGGAATTTATTTCGCGAGCTTTCAATGTTGGACAGGTTTATGCAAATCACTTTATTCATTTTGCAATGTTGAAAAATATCTTTCGTCATTTCCTATTAAGATTCATATATAAAGTCATATTGCTGTTGTATTTATTGTCAACGTCACTTTAAATTTTCTTTCTCTGATATCATGCGCATAATTTCCCGGGAATTTTTGTGGCTTCTATGCAACATTTCACGTATTCTGTCGCTTTGTTCGACACCTTTATTTCCTTGAATTTGATTAAACCATAAAGTGCGCTTCAGCTTCTCAAATTCCACAAGAAATCAAGTAGTTTGTAAGAGAATTTTATGAATGAGAAATAAAAGTTGAGTATTGCATTTGCAAAAAAATTGTTTCATTGCTTTTCTCACGATAAACACGCTCCGAAATCATCTGTGCGATCGCATTCTGCGGATGTCTTATATAATGCGCGCGCACGGAAAGAGTGAGAGACGGTGAGCGAAGAAATTGGCAGAAAAGCAGCGCAAGTGTGGCTTCAATTGTGTAGTCTTTCTCCAGTTGTATCAGTTTCTTTTTGGGGCAATAATTGCATACTTAAGTCACAATTATCTTATTTCATTTCTCCTTTCTCGGCCACGCCGAAATGCCTGGCGCGCGGCACTCAAGTGGCCATTCAGACTGTGCACACATGCTTGGGATTTTGTGATTCAACACACAATAAATCGATAATTCCTCCGTTCAATTGAACTCAAAAGGTGATGCCTCTCCTCTGGCATCCCGCAATGCTGCTTCTGCTGCTGGTTTAACCACTTTCACTGGCCATCGCGCCTAAGAACAGCCCAACTCTTACATCTGCAAATGGTGGAAATATCACGTTTTGTAATATTACTCAAGGATAAAGAAAGTCGACATGGAGGAGCGCAGAAAAAAAGGCCCGACAATGAAATCTCCAGCTTCTTTTCTTCACTCTCGATCATCGCATCGTGAGTTACACCATTGATCTCTCGCTGGAAGTTGAAGCCGCAATGGGGCATTCTTGGACTTTCGAGGTCTGGCAATGAAAATGAAAGTCCCACAAGACAAATGCCCGAAAAAACAACTGCGATAATGAACATGAGAAATATGAATAAATGATCTCACTGTGAGACGTTTCCCAATTAATAATGACACGCTCTAATGCTTTGGCTTTTTTTCCGGCCAAACACTCTCGAGAAAAATGATCCACAAAATATTATCAGGCACTTTAATAAGCATTTTTCTCCTCCACTTCTTTTACGGCCGGTGTGAAATTTTTAACACAAAATACATCGATATGAATGATGAAAGACTGACCATGCTTGAGATCATTTTCACCCAAAAGGGACCCACTTTAATCTATACAAATTGTTGTTTTCTCTGTTCAAACACCATAATTCGCCCCTTGGATATTTGTGCTGATAAATTTGCGTAAAAGTGATACAAATTGCCTGAAAAAAGAAGATTATATATTCGAACCATCTCTCCCTTCCCCTTTGTCGACCAGAAACCATTGAGCAAAACTGTATGGTTTAGGAAAGTTTTCTGGAGCTTTTACTAATTAATAATTTATTTTCTTTAATAATTTCCAACGCAAATGGCGTGGATTTTTGTTGGGTGTACCAGAAATTTAGGTAAGAAGAGTCCGAAGCGTGGAAAAATAATAAATTTCATTACATTGTGTGTAAATGTGTTCAGTGATTGGCGGAAATTTCCTCAAAATCTCTCACTTTAATTCAATCGTGTGCACGTTGAGTGTGATCACTTCTTGCTTATTACGAAACTGCGAAACTCTCTGCATTTCTTCATCGCGCTCATCGCAAGACAATAAAGCAGAGTAACATTGTAGATGTCATTTCATGAATTTCTTCTCATTTTTTTTGGGTTTCTTAAACACTTTTAATTCCAATGCACTTTCGCAGAATCAATCGAACCAATTTCACCGTGAAAGAGAGTCTCAAATTATTATGTCTTGCTGTTTGCTCTACATTGCGACAAATCGACGAGCACGCAATTCAAGATCAATGACGGCGTGATGTTTTTATGTTGACTTCATTTTGTATTCACGATTTGAAAATCGAGTTTTGCACGTTAAACCAGGCGAAGAGACACAGTTTACTGCAGTCCTTTGCTTATTTACATAATTTGAAAGCTCTTTCATCAAATGGAAATTTATTCACGACACTTGAAGACGTGTTTATATTCCAGTGTATGAAATTAAGGTAAAGGGCAAATTATTGCTGATAAAAAAATATTTAATGTGTGTTATCAGAAACATTAAACACATAAATTTGCGTTTAAATATGTTTAACACATTGCATGATAGAAATTCGCATAAAAATTAATAAATGTCCCTTGATACACAGCAAATTATGCATAATTCTCCAATTCGTTTGCATTACAAATGTGTCTAAAGATAGCTTTATTAAACATCTCTCCAAGTATGAAATAAAATGTATTAAAGAGAGTTTATTGTACTCATTTGTTTGTTACAATCTTCTCTATTTATTTACATTATGACTTTGTGGTTTGCGGCTGTTTATTTGCATTTCTGTGATTAAAAAGATATTCATTCTTGTCGTGTGATCAATTTTTCCTTTGTTAGCCGACAAATCATTGAGTGAAATATTTTGCCAAATCACTTTGTAATATTTGGACAGTGTGATTTGGATTAGAGATACATTTCTTGGCAGCGACTCTATCAAAGCTCTGCACTCTTGACATTCTATTCATTTTCTGCATCGCCCATTTTGCCGCGGATTGAATATATTATTAACTTTCTCAGTGTGTCCAAGAGATATGAAATTCAGATTGTAGAATTGATACAAATAAAAAAGGCCGACGAGGAGGAGAATTTTAATTGTCTTTTAGAAAGGATGGCAATTTGTTGAACGACTTTTTCGCATAATGTGCAGCTAATTATGATATTTCCGCGCTTGACTTCACTTTCAGTTTCGATCTTGGCCGTCAAGAAATTGATGGTTTTACCAGAAAAATGACAGGTGAGCGTGTGAGAGAGTCAAATGGTGTGAAATTCAATTCATTCACATATAGTCTCTCTCTCTTTACCAATTGACTAATTAGATGCGATTCTGGCTTCAGGTGCAGCAATTTCACCGAAAATGTGCGATTTTCCACTTCCGCACGCGTCGATTCAGCCAAGATCACTCTGCCACAGAGTGCTGAATCTTAATTGGTAGAGATTCAATTGTGTCCACGTCCAGTGTGTCACTCCTGGGAATCGCCCAAGGCGCGCCACTCGTCAGCGTCAATTAGAGAGACTCTTTTTGCGCCTAGGACACCTTTTTTTCCACCTCTCAAGTTCAATAGCAGTGGCACTTCTTTCGCTACTCGCCAACACCTTCCTTTCACTGCAAATGAAATTCGGCTGTGTTTTTCTAGCCGAAATTGCAGTGGCAGATGGAGAAGAGGCTTCAGCGGACAATTCATTCAACTCTTTTTCGGCGGCGATCATGAGACCACAATTTCCATTGCTTAATTGTTCCACAGAAAGTAATAATTTCACTTTCGTCTGAAGAACACTCAGAGAAATAAGCGCGAACCCGCATTATTGTGGTTTATTGTAAAGACACTGTGGGCTATTATTACCCAGGTAATTCGTCTTGGAATTACTCTTGGTTAACTCCAGTTTCGGACGTTTGATTAATCAAGATCGTTTATTCGGTTTGCTCAGATATCAGGATGTAATTTTTCACATGTTAGGAAAAGAAGTTGTTCGTGCAACAAATGTATTTGTATGCATAAGTCACGTTTCTCTGAGTATACAGCATTTTTATCTCACATTTCCATCGTCTATGACCATCAAAGGAAACTGGTCGCGCGTCTACTGGGAAGATCTCACGGAAGATCGCGTTGCCGGAAGAGAGATGAGCCGTATGGAAGCGTGGCCGGGCTTCCACCACTCCTGGATAGCGACGAGGCTCCCCTCGGGTCCACGCCAGAGTCTGCGTGTGTGTGCGTGCGCTCACCCTTCCTGGCCATGACCTCCCAGAGGCGGTGGAAAAAGAAAGGCTTTCACACTCGCTGTATTTTGGCTGTTTTCTCCCCACACGCCATCGTCAATTCTCTCCATCTCTTCTCGCCGTGAGTCTGTGTGCGCGCTCTCGGCTTTAGGCCAACACAATACAGCCCGGGTCCATCACTTGGCGTCGCGATTCGGGTGCCGCCACTATAAAAGCTCCGTGCAGGTCCACACCAATTGCATTCCAAATCCGTCAGTCCACTGGCAAAACGTCTCACCAGTAGTTTTAGGTTTTTTATTAGTGTAAGACAGCCAACAGTAAGAGATACAAGACATGGCAAAGTGGCTCGCAGTAAGTAATCAAGACGCGCAATTCTCTTCCTCAATCGGTCGATTCTCCAAAGTGATGCACGTGATCAAGTGATAAGTCGCGCCAAGAGTGATGGATATTTGTGATTACATGGAAATCAATTAATCGCGGAGCGTACTGACATTGAACTTGCGTCGCACACTTCCTGCCTTTCGATCAGTGGCAATTTGGAGTGATTGCACGCGGAAATTCATTAGTGATCAGCGCGTCTTTCGTCGTTGAGGAAGAGACGACTCTTCTCCCCAGAGTCCAAATACAGGAGGCTCACTTTCACCTTCGTTTTCTCTCCCTTGCAGCTCACTTGTGCGATTGTCGCGACTGCTTCGCTGACACAGGCGACATTTGGCGGGAAGGAACAGTGAGTCCCAATCGCTAACGGGCAAATTAAACTGAATTTTCAACACTGTCATTTACTCTTCGCAGTGTTCATATCAGGATTCACCTGCCTGAGCCCCACCACAAGCATCACCACGAGGAAGTCATAGTGAAGCACCACCATGAGCTGGAGCATCACGACCACGGGCACGATCACGGCCACGGGGGCGGACATGGTGGCGGACATGGTGGCGGAGGATTTGCTGAGGGATTAATCGGAGGCTTCCTGAGTGGACATGGCGGCGGAGGAGGAGGTCACGGGCATGGCGGAGGTGGTCATGGTCATGGTGGAGGAGGTGGACATGGTCATGGACATGGCGGCGGCGGAGGAGGAGGACACACTCACGTTGAACACTACGAAATCCATGCGGAAGATCTTGCAGGATTCGGCGGAGGATTTGGTGGTGGACATGGCGGCGGTCATGGCGGCGGTCATGGTGGCGGACACGGTGGTGGACACGGGGGAGGACACGGCGGTGGACATGGCGGTGGACATGGAGGATATGGCGGCGGAAGTGCTCACGTTGAACAAATCGCTCTGATTGAAGACCACAGTCATGGAGGTGGATTCGGCGGAGGTTTCGGTGGAGGATTCGGCGGAGGATTCGGCGGAGGATTTGGTGGCGGACATGGCGGTGGACATGGCGGTGGACATGGCGGTGGACACGGCGGTGGACATGGAGGATATGGCGGCGGAAGTGCTCATGTCGAACAAATCGCTCTCATCGCTGAAGATCATGGTCACGGAGGCGGATTCGGTGGTGGATTCGGCGGAGGATTCAGTTCTGGCGGCCATGGCGGTGGTGGAGGATTCAGTTCCGGAGGCCATGACAGTTACAGCTCTGGCGGCCATGACAGTTATAGCTCTGGAGGCCATGACAGCTTCAGTTCAGGCGGAGGCAGCGGTGGCTGGATTGGCGGCGGCGGTCTGAGCGGAGGTTACTCGGGCGGTGGCGGATTCAGCTCCGGAGGCCATGGTGGCGGAGGATTCAGTTCCGGCGGCCATGACAGTTACAGCTCTGGCGGCCATGGTGGCGGCGGTGGATTCAGTTCCGGCGGCCATGACAGTTACAGCTCCGGAGGCCATGACAGTTACAGTGGCATCGACAGCTACAGCGCTGGACACGTGTCTGGCATTGGCCACTCGAGCGGCGGATCCAGCTTCGGCCACTCAAGCGGCGGATCCAGCTTCGGCCACTCTAGCCTGGGCCATTCAGGCGGAGGCGGCGGTGGCGATGGCGGATACCATTATCCTAAGCCACACTAAATCCAGTCAAGCTCTCCTGACTAATCTCATGTACCTTCCAAATCTTTTTCTACGCGATTAAGTCTTAATTTAACATCTTTCTTACGCCTTTCTCCTCATTAACTTCCTTTCTTCTAGTCTTTCCCCAATTATTTATCAAGCCGCCTCTCGCTTCGTAACTTCTCCCTCTTTCTCTCTTCTTATTCTTCAATCTTGCGTGCTGAGCCAAAAGCTCAAAGACTGTATCTTTAATTTTCAACTCATCTCATATTCTTCTCATACTTGTTGACATGTATTGTTGTTAGAATTTTTTTTATATTGTAATTGTATATATGAAATTGTATTGAGAGATGAAAAAAAAATAAGAGAAATGCCAAACATCGTAAGAAATTGCTTCTTTTTTCCCCTTCATCAGCAGACATTTCACTTTCGCTCTCTTCCGCGAGTCTTGTGTGATCTTCTGCCACGCAATCCAAAGAGTCCCGTCACTGCAGCTCAGCTGTTGTGTTGATGGATGACGTGGGAAGTGCGGTGGTTGTCGGCGGGGCGCGCATTTTGATCTGCAGAGCCACCATGAGGTATGTTACCACCGAGCCAGCAATCTGCCAAAGAGATTCGCAGCGATAAAACTTTCACTCTCACGCCTCGCGATGAGTCGTTAAAGTTGGGCAGCTCGCAAAGAACTCGGCGAAGCTATTTTAATGGACTCTTTTGAGAATGCAAAATTCAATTCGCGCCACAATATCTCGCAGCTAATTAATGCGGAACAATGGTAAGAGGAAGTATCGGATACGAGAAATTTATTGCTGAATTACCAAGATGACAGGCAACTTTGACTTACTATGTATTAAGATTAATATAATGCCGAAATGAATTTACGATTAGCGAACGTGTGAACTTTGATCCTACATTAGTGCAATATAATGAGAAACTCATCATGTACAAATGATTTGAAATTATGCGACTGAATGATACGACATGGGCGTGCAAAAGCTCATCAAACTAATGAATGTGAAATATGTTTGTATATAGTTGAAGCTTCGATATATGCACAGCGATAACGTCTGTGAAAATTTAAACAGCATGAAACTCGTGAGTTAAAGTACAATAAAAATCTCACCGGGGCCAAAAGTGAAATGTCAATTGTACTCAATCGACCCGATGTAAATTGAGCTGGAATGGCATCAAGTTTTATCTGAAACAGCCTCACTTGCAGAAACTCTCTCGGAGAGAGTTTCCTGTTGGACACCTTCAGAAGCTGCTGAAAAGGTCCAGATTGCTGAAAGCAAAGCTCATAAAGTTTATTGCGATTTTTCGTTTGAAGAATTGTTACCACAAATTTGATTTTATTGGCGCAATTGAGCATTATGACAATCCCGATGGTGTGCGACAAGACGAAAACGGTGTCGGAGAAGAAGATGGCCTTGCCCTCAGTGTCACCGTCGTCGAGTTGGAAGAATAAGATGATTGAATAGAGGTGCATTACAATCACGCCCAATTCGATGATCATGAAGCACGTGAGTTGCGGATTGAAGGCGTTGTTGGCATTTATGAGCGCCACGCGGATGGACTCATGCAGACGTCTCAGTATGTCCAGCTCTTCTTCCAAATCTCTCCCATTGATTGCATCAAGATGAGTTCCGGAGCAGAGAAAGTCCTCCTTGAAGGACATCGAGTGATCCAGATGCTCATTTACGCGGTAAACAGTGGACTTCTCCAAGACTGTCACCATCAGGCTTTGGTAGCATCTGAAGAGTCGCCAGTAAATGCAGCAAGTAATTGAACACATGTACTGAAAGATTGCGGGCAAGTTGTGAACGAGATTATAAAATGAATCTTCATGAGGATTAATGTTTTCCTCATCTTCTGCTCTGTTGAAATTAACATAGAGATTTTGTGCAAAAATCAAGATGAGTTGTGTTATGAAGAGCAACAATCCAAGACGCGAATATAGAAGTAGTTTTGACTTAGACACCGGACAAAGAAGTCCCATTTTCTGGAATGGCGCCAAATCATTCAGTGCAGTCAACATTGATTGACTATTGAACAAGCCCAAAACAGCCAGAAGAGTTGAGAAGAAGAAGTACAAAGTTGTATTCATGAAGTTCAAGGCGTCATAAATATTGGTTACCTGAAAGAAAATAAATTAGCAAAGAGATTATCTTGATTTTTATCTATTTTGATTCAAATTATCAAAAGAAAAAAACTTTTCTGTTCCATTTTGTCAGACTGTGAACACTAAATTACTACTACTTTGGATTGTGTGACAAATTAGATCACTTTTTATTACTCTTTACCTTCACTTGGTACTTTACAACGAAAGCAACATTGTATAAGATCATTAGCGCAATAGAATAAATGAACCACATTATTGAGAACTTAAATTGACATTGTCCATATTCGCCCTCGAAAGTCTTTTGCTTGGGATGATTGGAGACAATTGGCATGAGACCAAAAATGCGATAAGCTCTTAGAGGTGCTCTTAAAACCTTGCACAGACACTTTCGCTTCTTATCCATTTCAATATCCAACTAATATCAGTCACTCGCAATTAACATCATAACGTGAGGACATTTAGAGCGAAGCTCATTGCTTATTCGCTTATGCATCATTTATCAGGTATTCTCTGGATAAAAGCTAATGAATTAAAGTCTATATTTAAGTCATCGATTTTAATTGTGGTCGTGAACTTGGGTGCAAAAGCTCGCTGTTCAGCGGGAAACAGCTTCTATTGACTCGGTGAAAATGCGGATGTCGAATTGCAGAGCCACAATTATATATGTGATCACCGTGCTGAACATCTGCAAAGAGAAGAGAAAGCTTTAAAGTCTGCAGTGAAAGTTGAATGGGAAGCTTTGGCAAACCTTTGCCACTATTCCGGCGTTAAAGGCGAAGATGCCAGAAGCTGAGAACAGAGGCGGACTCTTGGACAGTTGCTGCGAAAGCATTTCCAGTTGGATCAGTTCGTCAATGCTGAGATTGATTGTGGGCACGGAAGTCACCATCCGGAAAATCAATTCGTTCATCTGCAACACTTCGTCCGCCTTGTAGATCATGTAGAGGACAATCGCGGTGTTGATAAGCAGTCTGAGACTCGTGGCCAGAAGTCTCGTGAGCGTGTCGATGGAGTTGAAGATGTATTGACCGCCAATATAGGAGTTGAGCACGACGGAAATCATCACGAGACACGTGAGAATGGCGAGTTGTGGATTGAAACTCGCGTTGAATTCCGCAACAGCGTCTATGATTTTCATATGAGATCGTCGAATGCGAACAATGCGATGGAAAATGCTCACTGAGGATTCTTTGGAGGAGTTTTCACGCATCGTAGCCGAATAAAGAATTGTCCGGAGTTGCTTATCCAGATTCAGGACAATGATTCGAAAGAGTGTCATCACAAGACTGACCTTTAAGAAATAATAGCAAAGTGGAGAGTTAAAATCCAGTCTCAGATTGTGTATCGTTAAAATTAATAAGAAGGTAGCATTAATATGAGCTTCGGTAATCTATAATCTCATGTCATGACTTGAGGAATTCGGAGGCTTTTCTTTTTGCTTTATCTCTCCAAATCCTAAATGGTCCAATTCTCTCATAATAATCTCTGATGTAAGATTTGCCATAGGCAGTGAACAGCATTTCCTATCACTCAAAATTTCCGTGAATTAGTATAATAAATCTAATTGATGCTTGCTCTCGACATTGTAAACATAAAATTTATCAGACTGGGTAATTAATTTAGTGGATTTTCTCCCATTTAGAGTTCCAGATAAGGATTTTGTAAAAGAAGAAAATAAGAGATTTACCGATGCTTTCGATTACCGAATGTGTTTTTTTTTTGCTCTCACCTCAAATCCCGCCATCAAGACCATCAGTGTGCACATGCCATTGCCGAAGAACTTAACAATAAACCACCACTCAGAGCTGAGCAGAGCGCTTTGTTCTGGCCAGAAGAGGTACACGTAGAGTGCATTGCACAGGAAGAGGACGAAGATGAGTGAGGCTTGTCGCACTGCCATCCGGAACAGGAGGTTCTCGTCTCTCTCCGAGATGCTCCTCTGCACTCCTGGCCCAGTGTGGTGGAGATACTTGGCGATCTTCTCTAGGGCGTGAGCCCTGCGTCTGCACTGGAGGACGTTGAGGGACAGGAGCATCGCAGCGGTGAAGAACTGGAGGAAATCAATGGCCACAAACACGCGGTTGGTCATGCTGACGGACGGCAGTCGCTTCAGCATCCACTCAGGAGTCCAGTACAGGACACTGACCAGCATGATGGTGGACAGGAAGAGGTTCTGCACGAGAGACACGACAATCCATCCCGGCGACGGCGAGAAGGAGCAGGGACTGGCGTGGGTCGAGCAGGTCGCGGAAATGGGAGAGAATCCCAAGAAGTGACCAACCGCGGTGAGTGGCCTGAAGGAGCAGACAATGCAGACGGGCTTCATAACGCGCGTGCACGGTTCACTGATCGCCACTTGATTGATAGCATTTTCCAATTGGAATTGGGTCACCACGAGCGCACTCTTCCAGCAACTTCTTTCAGCTGCGCCGAAGCACCATTACGAGCTTCGGTGGATGACGATGTAATTTCTATATAGATAAATTCACTGAATTCTCTTCGCACCTAGCGTAATTATTATGCTGACACTCCGTGGACTGCACAATCCGAGCCCAAAACTTTTCTGCATCATCGAGCATAAGTGGTGAAATGTGTGATTGGAATTGCATGTTGGTGGAGATATTTCTTCCTGCTTTCTGTAACACACTTTATAGGTCAATTGTATAGTGTATTATTATCAACAATTGCCGTGAAGAATTTTGCACCCTTTTGGTTGAAAAGTTACAATTTATACCGTGTGCATTCTTTGGTGAAATGTAACCAAAGTTACAATATTATTGCATTTATGATGTGAGAAATGTAGCACAAAAGCCGCTGATTGTGATAAATTATGGGCTTCTGCAAGTGATAATCTTCTTGTTTCATTCAAATACAGGCAATTTGTATCTTGCGGAAGTGTGCGTGT